GATTCAACTCCCCTGTTTCAAAATCTACAAATTGGTCCTCTTTCCACCCTTGCAGTCCATCTCCGATTTAATGGAGGTGGTGGAGATGGTAGCGCCACCGGGGCTGAGTCGCGAAATTGAAAGATAATAACAAGAAAGTAAAGAAAGTGAAGAATGGAGATGCAAATGCAGAGGTTGGGCGTCTGGTGGGTACAAAACATGGGGTTGACGGGAATGTTTATAACCATAATAATAATGGTTCAGCGAAGCGGTTCAAGGCAGCTGATATAGCCCCTGCAAATGCAACCAAGGAAGTGTATGCATCGATTTTTACTTCGTCAAAGAAGTCAGATTTCAAGGAGACGTATTCTTGCAGATCATTGCCTCTTGGTAGGAACTGATGTACATTAGGTGATGTTTTAGTAAATCACACTAATTGTCTTGTGTATTTGTAGCTTTTGAGAAAAAGCTATGCATGCCCTTGTTAATTACAGCGGTGAGTAATTATCTGAAGCTCTTTCTTTATGGGTTATTTGATGTAATTTTCTTGATTTGTGCTATAAATTTTTCGGTTCTTTTTTATTTATGGGTTGATATGGAATGTTGGGTATAGTAAAATATATTTGGATTTTTGTGAATAAACATTAAATTCCTGCACTTCTATGGAATTATGTGATTCATGTAGTCTTCTGATGCTTAGATTGTCTAGATTTGAATATGCAAATGTAAGTTTTGAAAAATTAATGAATTTTTCCCCTTGTGCGCTTAAATTTGTTGTTAAGGTTATGCATATATGAATTCAAGTTATTTTAAAATCAGTTATTTTCTATTTTGATGATCATAAATTCTGAAATTTATTAAGCTGATTAGAGGTGAAAACTGGATAGAAATTTCTTAAATTAACATATGCTATAACAGAAAATAGATTTCATGATTGATGGAATGTGGCAATTGGGGAATTTGGATTATTATTTTTTTTTTTATTACCAATTTCGTTTAGCATTTCTTAGCATAGATTCATCAATGAAATAGTTTTAGCATATTCTATCGAATAAAACAAAATGGGAATTTAGATCCTT